GCTTCTCTTGGAAGTTGGGCCCAGGTGACCGGTTATTCCATTAGGCATGGAGGATGCCACGTGTCGTGACATAATAGGTCCATGGTGGACAAGTAGGCGCGTGCCACGTGGTAGACTCTGACAGGTCCAACTAGAGGACACTTGGCAGGACCTGATTGGCCCAAGTGGCGCATTTCGATTGGTGGGAGCAAAATCCCTTAATCAGATGCTGCTTTTGATTAGTAATATTAATGCATAATTAATATTACGGCTTAATCTTGACCGAACCCTTCGGGTCGCACCCTAATCGAATAACTGATCCGAATCGACGAATCAATATGAAGGATTAGATGAGTCATTAGAGTATTACAAACAAAGACGTCGGATATCAAGCTTAATGCGTCGAGACCGAGCATCGCAAGTCGAGTCGAATTTAGAATTCGACGAGACGCGAAATCAAACAAGTGACAAGTTCGAGCCTAGCCGTAACCTCGCATTGGCCTAGCCATGCAAGTGCTAGGCTAGGCGAGGTCACCAAGCCATGCGCATCATGGGTGCCTAGCATCCCCTAGCACACGCACATCGCATGGCACAAGCATCGCAAGATGCGTGCATGCGTGTGGTGTGGATGTGCATGCGTGGCTAGGCGTGCTAGCATAGCAGCGCTAGCCATCGCATCATGCTACGCATGACATAGCATAGCCCGCAAGCATTGCAAGCATGGCGCGTTGCGTGCTTGCTAGCATGCTAGGCCAAGTGCCCACAAGCATCGCAAGCATGGTGCCTTGCATGCTTGCTAGCATGCTAGGCACCCACCCCATCGCAACCTCGTACAAAGTAGCAACATTGCATAGCAGCGTGCTAGGCATGCTGGGCTATGCGTGGTGCTTGGTAGTGGCACACACCAAGCAGCCAGCCACTTGCTAGCACGTTACATCGCAAGGCTGGGCCTTGCTAGCAATGCGTGCTGAGCATGCGAGTGCTGGGATATGCGTCTTGTGAGGTTAGCAGTGCTTAGCACTAGCAGCCTTGCTAGGCAGCGCCAAGCACACGTTGTGCAATAGCAGCAACCCGTATGGTGTGCGTGGCTTGCTGGTTGTGCACATGCGAGTGCTGGCTAGGCTGCTAGCACAGCCAAGGCGCCAGGCGCCAGGAAGGCTGCCTTGGCAGCCAAGGGTGGTTGGCAGCCAGCTGTCCCAGGCCAGCTCACGGTCAATTGGAGGGGACCAAAGGTTGGTGGTTGGCTTGGAGAGCAAGGTAATTATGGTCCCCCCTTTGGATGGTCCTCACCTTCTCTCTTCCTCCTTATGCCACTTGTAGCTTGTTGATTAAATTTCATTTTATTTTGTTTTTGATTAAAATAAAATAAGGGAAAATGCAAATCTCCCACATTGATTGAGATTGGGAAATCAAGGTTCATTTCCCTATAAATACCCAAGTTTTGGGTTTTGGGAAGAACACTTGAGGGGAAATAAAAAGGCATCTCCTTAGTAAAGTGAGAAAACCTTAAGTTCGTAATACTCTAGTTTTTATTGGTCAAGTCTCGACTAACCTTCGGGACTAGGACCGTTCGGGTCGGGTTGAGGGTGCGAGCCATAGGAGGCCGTTGCACTTGCGAGGCTCGCGCTTTCAAGTAAAAGCTCGTGATTCGAGCGAAGCACGTGTCAAGGGTAAGAAAGTCTTTTCTCTTTCTCTCTTTTATGTTGTTAATTATGTGATTAAATATTTAGTTGCTTTAATTAGTGAGCGGGTGTTAGGTGGGTTTCTCTTCCGTATAGCGTTAAATGCTACGAAGCCCAACAATCAGGAAATTCTTCTCCACCACAGGGAAATCAAGCAGGAGCAAATAAAGGGCAAGAGGAAGGAGAGCTAATGGATGAGAGTAACTATACTATTGATAGTTCCATTATGGAAATTCCAAATCCAAGTCCACCCCAACTCCAATTATAATTGACATTTTATTTGACGATGAGGAAGATGAAGAGTTTAAAGGATTTATGTCTTTGTCAAGTGCAATTACTAGATATATCAAGGATCACTATTATGGAGATAATTAGTTCATTCTTTTGGGTCGTCATTCTCTGTTGCTAGATATGATAAATGATCTTTGGTCCGGTCAAATAGTCTAAAACCCAATAAAATGGATCATATGAGGTCACACACAAGGGCATTGGATTGAACAAGTATGGAGCCTATTAATGGGCCTCATGAGGTAATGGCAATCCATGAAAGGTGTAAGGCTAGTGTAGTTAGAATTGGGTTGAGTTCTTGGGCTTCACATGGACTCAATTATGTATAAGATATATAAATAGAGTCCTTGTTAGGTTTTGAAAATAAGTCACCATTAATCATACAATAAATTGTGAAGCAAGGCAACCAAACTCCCTAACCTTATTCTCTTTCTCATGCATGCCCTCCCCCTCTCTCCCATCCGTACGACCGCCCCCCTGGTGGCGCTTGGTGTTTGTGGTGGTTGTTCGTGGTTAGTTCGCTCCTCTCCTCTGCGTAGAAGGTTGATTGAAAAGGTTCAATCACGACTAACTAGCATTAGTGGAGGTTCAATTTGTGCCCGTGGACCAAGTAGAGGAATCATGTTTGGGGTTCTAGTTCTCCTATTGTTCTTGCTCGATCACACGTGGAATCACACTTCAAAAGTATAATTATGTGTTCTTTATGTGTTGTGCATAGATATTGACGCTTATGAATATGATTCATGCAATTCCGCTTAGAGTATCTAAAGCCCTACAGTGGTATCAGTTAGCCTTATGCATGTACACATATTGATATTGATTCTTTGTTGTCCACAAATTTTAATTTAATTAAGAGGGAGAATAATTTAATTATGGGTCAATTATTCTTTTAAATGTTAACTTAACATATAGAATCATTAAAGTGTTTAATTTTGCTCCATTTTAGCCTAGAATATGACAGATTTTTGCCCCTTTAGGTTCAAAATTTTCGACCCCCCAACCCTAATTTCTAAAAAATTCGAAACCCTAACCTTAAATTTTGATTTGTATTTTGGTTTTTGAATAATTTCGAATAGTTTGTATTTCATGATTTTAATTTATTTTATTTCATGTATAAGTTGTGAATTTTGCATGATCAAATTATTTAATTTAAGTGTTAAATTGAATATGGAATTAATTTCATGAAGAGCCCTATTTTTGAGATTGAATGTGATTTAATTTTGAAATTAATTGGACCAATTTAATTTAATTATAAATAGTGTTGTTTAATTAAAATTAAAACTAAAAAAAATATTTATTTTTGGGGCTATTTTTGGGCGGCAGCCGCGGATGGGTGGCGCCACCGCAATGGCTGCCGCCGGTCGTGGTCCAAGAGGGAGGGTGGGGGGGCAGCAGGTCGAGTTAGCGAGGGCAACCACAGCACCATCGTGTATCAGTGGCGCGACAGTGCTGTTGTTGATGTGCGTTGCTGTATAGCCACGGTGACTGGCTTCGGCTAGCCACATCACGGTGGCTGGCGCAGGTTTTTAAAATATTTTTTTTATTTTATTTTAAAATTCAAATTTAAAATTCAGATTTTAATTTTTGAAAGATAATTGTCAAAATTAAAGTTGTTAACTGTGATAAGTTTTAAGGATATTTTGAGCAAAAGATTCTGTATGGATAATAATTGGTTATATAATGAGATTATCCCATAATTATTTTAGGAAATAATTGATTTAAAATTATGTGTTTGACTAAGTAATTAGAATGGAATCTCCAAAATTAGTTAGGGTAATCAAGGAGAATAAATATGATTTATCTTTCCTGATTAAAATAAGATTTTATTCTATCTCATACCTAAATTTAAATATATGATATTATCTAATTACACTTTAAAATATGAGTTATTTAGGTACCATGTTTCCTTAATTATGAACATTCAATGTTGTAGTTTAGGAAAGCATGTTGTGTGATTTTGCTGTATATATATATATATATATATATATATATATATATATATATATATATATATATATATATAGACTAGTATGACCTATAGATTCTAAATACGATCTGTGCATCGCGATGTATTTTTCTAATCTAAATACGGTCTGCGTACCGTTAAGTATTTTTGTAATTTATTTTATTTTATTGAAGTAGTAGATAGAATAGAATAGTATTACAGGTTGCAGTTAATCCAAGAAGCCAATGGAGTGAAGGCCCAAAGGAGCAAGGTGGATGAGATCCACGAAGGTTCAAGTGGGAGCCTTTGCTTTATTAGTTTTATTAGGATTAAGGGGCCATACTATGTCATGTTTTATTTATACATTAGTAGATTATGCATGCTAGGTTTTATTTATGCTTGTGATGATGCGCTAGAGTTCACTAAATTAATCACAACATAATAAATCTAGGTCCCGGTAATATTGAGGTTGCTTTTCCAATTAAAAACCCAACAAACCTTCAATAATTAATGATAGGTCATGCCAAAGCTGGGTGTCATTTTTATATCTTAGGAGACTTGGGGTAAATCAAGTTTTAAAATTTTAATTGGTTATATTCAACAAGGTTACCTAAAGAGTTTAGAAACTTTAAGCAAAGGGTAATAATTAAACATGAGATGGTGAATTATTCAACCAAAAATTACAAGAGTTGTAATCAGTAAAGAGTTTATTCACCTTGAAAATGTAATGGTTGATGGTAGGGTAAAAGTCTGGTCAATTATTGCACAAATAAAGGGTCTTGGAATCAATTAATTCAAAAGGGATCATTTAAATTGAATTGATAGGCGTGTCGCGTACCTAACAAAAATAACCTAACAAGACCACTACTATGTAGACGGGCAAGTAAGGATCGAATCCCAAGAGACTAAGGTTCACCTAATTAAATAGACTCTAGTAATCACTAAGCAAGTAACAATCAATGGTGAAATATTCTAAGAACTAATATATAAAGAACTCAATAAATCTAAAGAATGTGATAAATCAATGAACTAAAACATCCAAGATCAAGTATCACAATAATTACAATCGATGCAATTATCTATCTACCCCTAGCATACAAATTCAATTAACATGGGGAAAAGCAAACCATAATCAATACCAAGGACTGCACACTACACACTTTCTCATCTATTTTCCTCGAAAATAATTCATCTCTTCTCAAGAAAACTGCATTGCATTGTTCCTTTTGGACTTTTGCTTGATCATGAAGAGTTGATAAATGACTCACTTGTTCTGAAAGTTGGGAAAGGTGAGTTTCTCTCCCCTTATTTTGAGCAATAAGCATTTGAATCGAGCTTTCAAAGTGTTCATTTTGCTTTGCTTGTAGCTCAAATTGCTTTGTCATAAGCTCTTGCTGTCGAAGTTGGGAAGAAGTGAAAGTCTCCATAATGGAATCAAGATTGTATTTTGAAGTTTGTGGTGGTAGTTGTTGATTCATGGGTTGGTGATTAAAAGATGCCCTTGCTTGAAAACTAGGTGGTGGCGACGGAGAATTCAATTGAGCTTGAGTGTTCATATAAGAGAAGTCCGGATGATTTCTCCACCCTTCATTGTATGTGTTTGAATGAGGATCATACGACCTTTTAGGATTAGAGGTGTAGAAAGAATTGGCCTCCTCAATTGACATCTCACTGGAAATTTTGGGGCAATTAGGTGCAATGTGACCCTGCACATTACACATCTGACAGGTCTCCGGTAAGCTAGTAGATGTTCCGGCTTGGAGTCTGTCAAACTTGCTTGTTAATTCCTGCACAGAGCTAGTCAAAAGAGTTAGAGCTTCAACATCTAATTTACCTCCCTTCTTCACACTATGTCGACCTCCTGGATGATAATTATCATTGGCTGCCATCTTCTCAATTAGCTCTTTGGCTTCAGTTGAGTTCTTAGTCATGAGAGAACCCCCGGATGTAGCATCAATGTATATGCGGAACTCATGGGTCAGACCATTGTAGAATGTTTGGATTAACATCCACTCTGGGATACTGTGATGAGGGCATTGTCTCTGTAAGCGCTTGAATCTTCTCCATGCCTCATATAAGGACTCATCATCAGATTGACGAAAGGTAGCTAGCTCGTTCCTTAACCTTGCAGTCTTCTCTTGCCCTAAAAATCTTACTAAGAAAGCTTTGGCATGCTTATCCCATGTATCAAAGGAACCTATACCTTCGTCTCGTAACCATTCCTTTGCTCTATCCCGTAGTGAAAAAGGGAACAAACAAAGTTTGATAGCATCATCAGTGACACCGTTGAGCTTTATGGTGTTACACTTCTCCAAGAAACTTTCTATGTGACTAACAGGTGTGCCTGCAAATGAGTCATTGGAGATGAACTGTATGAATTGAGGTTTTAATTCAAAGCTCTGAGCGGTAATAGGTGGTCTGACAATGCTGGATAGGAGCCCGGTTGCGGTATCGGGAATGTTGTACTCCAATAAAGATTTTGTGCCGTCTTCCATGTTTCTATTGTTTCGATTTCTCCCTCTTCTTCTACCTCTTTGTCTCCTTAAAGTTGCTTCGATTTCAGAATCAAAAGGTGCTAAATCGTCTAACCCTGAACGTCGTGTTTGCATGCAACAAAGAACTAAAGGAAGAGTATAAAAAACACAAGAGACAATTGTCGAAGCAACGAATAAAGCTTAGTAAAAACGAATCACAAATAATCAGAAAGAAACCATTAGTCCCCGGTAGCGGCGCCAAAATTTGATAGGCGTGTCGCGTACCTAACAAAAATAACCTAACAAGACCACTACTATGTAGACGGGCAAGTAAGGATCGAATCCCAAGAGACTAAGGTTCACCTAATTAAATAGACTCAAATAATCACTACGCAAGTAACAATCAATGGTGAAATATTCTAAGAACTAATATATAAAGAACTCAATAAATCTAAAGAATGTGATAAATCAATGAACTAAAACATCCAAGATCAAGTATCACAACAATTACGATCGATGCAATTATCTATCTACCCCTAGCATACAAATCCAATTAACATGGGGAAAAGCAAACCCTATTCAATACTAAGGACCTCTCTCGAGTATCAATGGCTTCTCTAACCACAACCAAGCCTATTCTCATGGAATCATGCAAATTAGAGACATTAAACACTTTACTTGGCTTCCCAACTATCAATTCAACTACTCTCGTGATGAATCTCAAACCCTAAATTGATCTACTCAAATCCGTTAAAACCCAACTCTCGTTGTGATTAAAACTATGAAATAATAACAGTAATAATTATCTCTAATCTAGTATTGGCATAATCACAATCAATTTAGCATAAATAATCGCAATTGTCATTAGAGAATTTAAAGAATCAATTCATGCATCAATCAAAATTGGGCTAGCCTAGATCTTGGAATATAAAAAACTACTCACACATATTGAAATAAGCAATAGGAAAAATAATCAAAGAAAACATAATTAAGAAATAAGGGATGAAAGGAATATACCAAATCTTGAAATAAATGGAGATTACAAAAGTAAAACTTGAATCTTGAATTAAAAAAGCAACGTAAAATTTTTAGAGAAAACTAGGTCTAATAAGGAATGCTAGATAGTGAAATAAAATAAAGTCTGGGGTATTTATACTCCTAACAAAAAGATAAGAAAATGTAAGAAAATTCAGCGCATCCTCCTAAGAGGCACGGACGTGCCTCACTTCGAGTAAGGTTCTTCTCATCTTCTGGACTCCAGGCATGGACGTGCCTCATATGCAGAGTCGAAGGCAGCAGTAGAGACACGAACGCGCCTCACTTCTAGAGTATTTCCCTCGGTTTCTGAGGCTCATGCACGGACGTGCCTAAGCTGGGCATGGGCGTGCCTCTCTTAAACATGGTCGTGCTTGGCTCTAAAATTTCCGAAGTGACTCGTTCTTCAACCAACAAGCTTTGTGAAGGTCCGTGGGCCTCGGTTTAGTCTCATGACTTCATAAAATCTCTAAATTAGCTTCGTTAATCATGAAATACATCAAAAACAGCGAAACTACCCATAAAAGCATCGAATCATTGAAACTAAACCAAATCAAACCAAAATGAACTAAAATACTAAGCTAGACTAATAAGAACAACTAAAAAGAGGCTAACAATTATGCACAAAACACGGCTTATCATGAATAAAGTGTTTTAAAGTAACCAATTTAATTCTCTTATGGTGCTTTAAATTTTATTAAACATAATTATTGAACTTTGCCTCGTTTTTGTTTGAAGATGAATAGCTTTAACGACAACATTAACTTGCCAACCAAACTAAAAACAACGCTAGATCTCATAAATTTCAAGGATTGGGAAAATGAGCTAAGAAATGTTCTTAATAGCCACAAGCTCGAAGCTCGGTTGTACATTCCCATCGAAAGCAGATTCAAAGTGGGCTTAACTCCTGAAAGGCATGCGAAAGATGTTTCAAATGCAGAGAAAGTCAGGAACCTCATATTAGCCTCTATTCCAACTTGTTGGAAGAGAAGGTTTAAGGATTATGAGCCAATCTTACTGCGAGAGTGCCTACATGCTGTTTGTAGAGGCGGTATAGGGGCATTAGGAAGTGGAGGCATCATTGACAAGAATGTCAAGAAAATCGTTGAATCGATTCCCACGATATATTACTCCTAGATTGACAGTGTAAGGTTTGAGACTTAGAATATTCATTGTAAGATAATGGCTAAGAAACTCATACATAGTCAGTCAGTTAGGACCTATGTCAAGAAACTGATTGAGTTATTCAATTGGATGGATATCTTAGGGAGACCGTTTGATGATGACTCTGCTCATATTACTATTTTGTTTTCACTCCATGCTGGATTTGATCTCGTCAAGCTAATTCATGATGATGAAGGCTCTATAGTCATGCTTGTTGATTTATGATCAATCACACAGAGGAGTACTTGAAGAAAGAAGGAAGCCAGTGTTTCTACTACGATAGGTGGTCTTACCACTTACCAGAATGTCCTCACAACATGCTGTTAAAAACGAAAGGTAAGGAGTTACCTAGTATATTTGTTGTTGAAATCAATCTTACTCCTTCTTCCACTTGGGTATTTGATACCAGTTGTGGTGCTCACATTGTTAATAACATGCAGGGCTTAAGAGAGAGTAAGAAGTTAGCAAAAGGGGAAGTAACGCTTCAAGTAGGAAATGGAGCAAAAGTTGTTGCACTTGCTATTGGAAGCTATCATTTGAAGCTCCCATCTGGTCTTATTTTGGTGCTTAATAACTGTTATTATGTTCCAACAATTACCAAAAACATTATTTCAGTTCCAGTGTTACATACTGAAGGTTTTTTCTTTTGAAATAAGAGACAAGAGTTGTTTTTATTTCTAAAGATACTATGTTATATGCTAACGCAAAATTGATTAATGGTTTGTATGTTTTAGACTATACAACCCATGTTTACAACATTGATGATAAAAAGCACAAAACAAATGAACCAAACCAAACCTACTTATGGCATTGTAGGTTAGGTCATATAAAAATCGCGCATCCAGAAATTACAAAAGGATGGGCTCTTATCCTCATTAGATTACGAATCATTTGAGAATTGTGAGTCATGCTTGTTAGGTAAGATGACCAAATCACCTTTTACAGGAAAGGGTGAAAGAGCTAGTGACCTTTTGGGCCTCATACATACAGATGTGTGTGGACCAATGAGTTCAAAAGCTAGAGGTGGATTTAACTACTTCATTACCTTTACTGATGATTTAAGTAGGTATGGCTATATCTACTTAATGAAGCACAAGTCGGAATCCTTTGAAAAGTTCAAGGAATTCCAGAATGAAGTACAAAACCAGCTTGGGAAGACAATTAATGCACTACGATCTGATCGTGGTAGTGGATATTTGACTCAAGAGTTTGATGATCATTTGAGGGATTGTGGAATACTTTTGAAATTAAATCCTCCAGGAACACTACAGTTGAATGGTGTGTTAGAAAGGAGGAATCGAACTTTGCTTGACGTGGTTCGATCTGTTGGGTTTCGTAGTGTACGACACAACGCGGAATGAATCCCTCCCAAGACCCGCACACAAATTAATGTAACTAAACATGCATATTAAATAATAATCACATAATTAACTAAGAGAGAGAAAAGACGATCTTACCCTCGACGTGTGCTTCGCTCCTTTAGAGCTCGTAATTAAAAGCGCTAGCTCCGCAAGCGCGTGAGCCTCCGATGGCTCACACCCTCGAGACCCGACCCGAACGGTCCCTACCCCGAAGGTTAGTCGGGGCTAGATCAAGAACTTAGAGTATTAGAATTAAGGTATTCTCTTCTTGGAGATCCTTTAAAATTCTCAACTCAAGTGTCCCTTCCCAATCCCCAATGATGGGTATTTATAGGGAAAGGAGCCTTGAATTCCAATCTCCCATCCACGTGGGAGAGTTGGTTAAAATGCACTTTATTTAATTTATTTTAATTCAAAAACAATTTAAAATTCAAGTGAATCAACAAACAACAAGTGTCAAGTGTAGAGCAATAGGTTAGGTGAGGACCACAAAGAGGGGGGGGGGGAGACCATCCACCCCTTGCTCCCCAAGCAACCCAAACAAACCGGTTCCCCACACAGACAATCAATGCACGCGCGCCAGCTGGTACTGCCAGTCTTGGGCGCCAAGGCTGCCTTGCTGGCGGCCTGGCCCTTTGGTTAGGCTTGCTAGCTGGGCACTGTGTGTGCACGCAGCCTAGCACGCTAGCACGCACACCCGCATCCCACGCACGCATTGCGTGCTGCTGCTGCTGCTACTGCGTTGCTCGTGCTAGCGAGGCCCAGCAAGCACTTGCGTGATGTTGGCCTTGCGATGGTGCGGCTGGTGCTGCTATGTGCGACGCACTAGCATGCTAGCACACCTATCGCACCCGCAATGCTAGCCATGCCGCACCACCCCAATTGAAGTCTTAAAGGTGGTCCTATAAGCCTATTATGAGTCAATGAGCTTACTAGAACAATCCTTCCTTGTTCTAGCAACAGTCTTCTCCAAAATGACTTTCAACTCCCTATTTGTGACCTCCGCTTGACCACTTGTTTGGGGGTGGTTAGCAAGGCCTCGCTTGTGCGATACACCATACTTTGAAAGAAGCTTGTTAAATGTATGGTGCTTGAAGTGTGAACCTCCATCACTTATGATTTCCTTAGGAACACCAAATCTCGGGAAGATTACTTTCTTAAACAAGTTGATAACCACCTTTGAGTCATTGGTGGGAAATGCCATAGCCTCCGCTCATTTAGAAACATAGTCAAAGACAATTAGAATGTGCTGGTCTTGCGATAAGATGAAAGGGCCCATGAAGTCAATTGGCCTAACATTGAAGATTTCAAGCTCAAGTATTGGATTTTGAGGCATCTCATCACGCCTTGATATGTTCCCCGTCCTTGACAGGCGGTATTTTAGGTCGTTACTAAGATACCTCTATCAATGATATTTTTAGTCCTAAACATGCAAATAAATGAGTACGGAGGCAAGTCAAG